ACCGACCCCCCAATCGCCCGTGGATTGCCGATGGGGGCCGATAGCCGAGCCCCGCCCGGGAAGGTGCGGATTCGCCATCGGGCGGCTATCGCCGATCTGTCGGCGGTGTATCGCCGATTTCAGGTCGTGTTGCCCCCCCCCCCCCCCTTATGCCAGTCCCCCCCCTATCGTTGCCCCTCGTTGCTGCGGCCTCACAGGGCCCCCCCCCGCAGCGTCCTGCGCGAGCGCATCTGCCCCCGCCCCCCACCGCGGCCCCTCAGGGCCGCGCGCCAGAGGTCCCTCTCGCCCAGGGGGGGGGGTCACTCTTTGCACGCCGGCGAGGCAGGCGGCCCTGCACGCGCCGACGGTCTGAGCGTCTGCGCTCCCGCCCCGGCGCACAGGCGGTCCCGCTGGGCGGCGATGGCGCCCGCCAGCGCGGCCGTGCCCTCGATCCGGGAGTCCCTGCAGGCCTGCCGCGGGCCGCTCGCTCTGTGCCTCTCTGTGGGCCCCCTCCTGGCACGGAGGGCGACCGGAGCGCGGAGACGGCCGCGAGGAGGAGATGGGAGGGTGGACAGACCTCCTACCCTGACACATCGATTCAGGAATTGGCCGTCTTCGGTTCGCGAGAGGGCGTCGCGGCCGTCATTTTTGCGGGTCCAGGTCCGTCGGTTTCGGTCCCAGGCCGTTTTCCCTAAGGGGAGGTTGATTCAAGGGAGGTTTGTCCACCGCCGAGAGAGGGGAGGGAGGGTGGAGGGGAGGGGAGGTTTGAGGGGGAGCGGGGCGAGGAGAAAGGGGCGGCGGGACGAGCAGGGGAGGGTCGGAGGGACGACGGGAGAGTCTGCGGGAGAGAGGGAGTGGCGCGGAGGGAGTACCCACAGTCGGCTGGGATATCGGACTTGCCCACTGCGGTGCGCGCCCAGCAGGCGCCCCCGCTGTACACCCCTGCATCCCAACACGTGACGTCCTGCGCTGGTGTGGCCAGTGCAAGCACGCGTCTGTCGCCCCGCCTGAGCGAAGCACCCAGCATCGGAAGGGGGAGGGTGCGGGAGTGCCCTTGGCCAGGTCTTCTTCTCCAAGACGGGGGGGCGACGGGATGAGGAGAGGGCCAGGAGTGGGGGGGATGGGAAGGGAAGGGAGGGGGTTAGGGGGGAAGGAAGGGAAGGCGAGGGAGGGGGATAGGAAAGTAGAGGATTGGAGCCATGTGCTTGCCTCGTCATGGATTTGCCATCGCCTCTCTCCCGCCCTCTGCACGCGGGGGAGGAGGAGGAGGATCAGAAGGAGGAGGATCAGGAGGAGGAGGAGGACGACGACGACGAGGACGAGGAGGACGACGAGGACGACGACGACGACGGCGCCGCCGACAACGCCGACCACGACGCCGAGGGCGGCGGGCGAGGGCGACGGGACACGGAGGTGCCTTGGGCTGGCGCGAAGCTGCCGGGCCTCGGGCCTTCCTGGGGCGCTGAGGCGGCCGTGCCGGGCCCTGAGGTTGGAGGAGGGCGGGTCCACGCAACGACGACGACGACGCCGACGACGACGACGACGACGCCGACGACGACGACGACGACGACGACGACGACGACGACGACGACGACGACGCCGACGACGACGACGACGCCGCTGACGCCGACGACGACGACGACGACGACGACGACGACGACGACGACGCCGAGGGCATCGTCGGGCGCCGCGGCCTTCTGCGCCAGCGCCCCCGCGGGCCCCGGTCGAGGGGAGCCCGCTGCCACACAGCGCGTCTCGGCTGCCGGGCCTGACGCTCCGGCGGCAGAAGCCCGTCCGCTGCGGCGTGCGGTGGCGGCCTCCGGCGTGCCGCCGCCGCGTCGGCCCTCCCTGGCGCGTCCCGTGCGCGCTGGGGCCCGAAGGCCTGTCGCCACGGCCCCAGACATGCTCGCGTCGCGGCGCGGACAAAATCCGGACGGGAGGTGTCTTTCGCCGGGTTCGGTCCCCGGGGGCTCTCACTGTCGGGGGTGGACAGAACCCCCAACAGTGACACGTCGATTAGTGGATTGTCCGTTTTCGGTTCTCGAGAGGGCGCCGTGGCCGTTATTTTCCAGGTTTGCGCCCGCCAGGTTTGGGCCTCAGGTCGTTTTCACTTAACCACGTTTTACTAAAGGGGGGTCTGTCCATCCCCGACATTGGGCCACGGGGCCGTCGGAGAACGACTCGGGATGAAGAGCCAGTGCCACGGAAAGGGTCGGGATTTCTCGGGGGGCCAGTGCTGAAATGATCCAGGCGAAGAGCCCAAGCACATGCAGTTGCGAATCCACTCTGGGTCAAAGACCATCCCCGGAGGACACCCCGCGTTTCATAACCTTCGGCACCGTGCGGGGCCGGGCCACGCGCCGCGGTGGTTCGGAGTACTTGCAGCGGATGGCTTCAGTGCAAGATGCATTCAAGTGTCACTTACGTGGACGTTGACCGTCATGGGGTATACACCTCCATTCCTCGGTCGAAGATGAGGACGAGGAGGGGAAGGATGAGGAGGAGGAGGAGGAGGAGGAGGAGGAGGAGGAGGAGGAGGAGGAGGAGGAGGGGAATGAGGGAGGACGGGTGTGCCGAAACGGGCCCGGGGACGCATGCAGGCACTGCCACTGGGGTCGTCCGTGGAGCTCCCCCTGGGGCCACGAGACCTGTGGGGGGTGCGCCGCATCGGACGCGGGTGCGCCCCTGCGGATCCTGCCGCTGGACCCCTCAGGAGAACTCCCTGCGGGGGCCACGAAGCGTGTGAGGGCTGTGCCGACATGAAGGCAGGCACCGCATGCGGACCTTGCTGTCAGGAGGGAAAAAACACAGACACAATTAATCGTCGATCCCCAGAAAATAGGGGAAAATATCGGAACTGGTGGGGAAGACAAAATCAGAGAAAATATAGGACAATATTGGGAATTCTTTTATTTGTATGTATTTATTTGTGTGTCCCAGGGCCCCTTCGCACTGGATGCCTTAGCTGGAGTTCCCCATGCGGGCCATGCCACTGGGCCCTTCAATGGAGCTCCTCCTGGGGCCACGAAGCGAGCCAGGGGTGTGCCGAAATGGAGGCGGGTACCCCATGCGGGCCCTGCCGCTGTGGGCCTTCGGCGGAGCACCCTGTGGGGCCACGAGACGTGTGAGGGCTGAGCCGAAATGAAGGCGGGTACTGCATGCGGACCCTGCCACTGTGGGCCCTCGGCGGAGCTCCCTATGGGGCCACGAAACGTGTGAGGGGTGCGCAGGGATGGAGGCTGCCCTGTGGGGCCTCGAATCGTGTGAGAAGTGTGCCAGCACGGCAGCGGAGCCGCCATGAGGGCGCTGCCACTGAGGTCTTCTTCTTCTTCATCATCATCATCAGCATCAGCGTCAGCATCATCATCATCATCATCAGCATCAGCATCATCATCATCATCATCATCAGCAGCATCAGCACCAGCACCAGCATCATCATCATCATCATCATCATCATCCTCATCCTCATCCTCATCCTCATCCTCATCCTCATCATCTTTATCATCGTCATCCGCATCACCATCATGAGGGTGACAACGATGTTGCTGATGATGCTGTTGGTGGGGTGGTGGTACCGATGATGAGGACGACGATAGTGTCCATCATGGCTATGGTGGTGATGATGATGGTGATGATGATGATGACGATCCTGGTGATCATGGTGATGATTGTGATGTTGATGCTGATGATGCTGCCCATTATGCTGATGATGATGACGATGATGATGATGATGATGATGATGATGATGATGATGAAGCTGATGATGGTGATGATGATGATGATGATGATGATGATGATGATGATGATGATGATGATGATGATGGTCATCATAGCCAGTCCAGATGTGGCGATGATGGTGATGATTGATAATGACGGTGGTGGGACAAGGGGTGCAAGGGGCCCGAGTGGGGTGACGCGGGGTGCAGTCTCTCCGAAAAGAGGACCCAGCACCACAGGATGGTTTGGGGAACAACAGGACATCGCATGTCTTGGTCTGTGCATCCGCCTCTTCGAAACATGGGTCAGGATGGCCCCTGGCCCTCCTCATATCAAGCTTGTCCACGGTCCCGTCGGTCCCTCTGCGTCGTGGTCGGTTACAGTTCGGTCGGTCGGGTCTGGTCGGCCGCCGCGCCCACCGCCGCGCCGCTGCGACCTTCTGAGCTGCGCTTGCGGCGCGCCGCTCTCGGTCCTTCTCGGTCTCCCCGCCGGTCCGGCCGGTCTTAGGTTGTGCTGTCGCGGTGGGCGGGCTTCTGGACCTCTGGTCAGTACCGTTTAACGTATCCCCCTCCCCACTGAACCATGGTATCTCAGCCCCACCGTCCCGTCCCCCGGGGCGAGGATGGGCCACTCGAAACCCGAGGGGAGCAGCCGATGTTCCCATCTAGGGGGTGCAAATCGGCCAGTCGCGCCTGGGCCACGCCAGCCCAGCCCCCGACGTCATGATTTGTTCATGACGTCGACCCCCAGAGGTCCCGACCCATTCCACGGGACCAGCTTTCCATCCCGCGTCGCGTTTGACGGTGCCGAGGCCCAGCGAGGGCCTCCAGACTTCGAAATGAACCAAAACGCCCGTCGCGAAATTAACAAGAACGCCCGGCGCGCAGGGATCGGTCAAACTCAGCCACGCGCAGATGGGGGAGTAGGGGGAGGGGCGAAGGCTTATTAGAAGCACATCTGCTTGTTAGAAGGTGCGGGCCTTGTCTAAGATGTAGGGCTGGCGCCTTCTTAGAAACAGCCCTCCCTCCAAGAAGCCTTCCCCCCTCCGCCCACCCCTTTGCGCTGGGCGGGGCTGGAACGAGGATAGAAACGCCCCAGAGCGTTCCGGAACGCTCTCGGAGCGTCCCGGAAGACTCTGAAAAGACCGCGGCGCCCGAGACATCCTCCAGAGCCGCTGGACCCCGGACATTCTCGATTCATCCTCACCCGAAGTTATCCTCGTCCTGGTTTCGCCCTGCTCCGCGCAGGTGCCCTATCGGGCTCGGCGCGCGCGATCGACGCTTGTCTAGGCGCGAACCATCGAGGAGCATCCTGGGTCCGCGCACATTCATTCCTCGGATCGGCGCTGGGGCCCCCTTGGCGGCGCCTACGGCGCCGCCCTTGACGCGCTCCGCGCGCCAGGGAAGGAGGTCCAGCGCCGATCCGAGAATTCCGCGCGCACCAGTGAGGAGCTTTTCTTGGCGGGAGCCATCGAGGAGCAGCATGCGAAACATATGCTCACGAAATCGTTACATGCACGGGGAAGGGACGTCCGAGCGATGGCGAGGGGAGCCCCGTGTCAGCCACGCGCATCCTTCCCATTCGGCCCATCCTTGGCCGCTTTCGCTGGCCGCGCCCCGCCCGCAAAGTGTCGACGTGGCCCTCCGAGGCCCCTGCATCCTTATCGTGCTTCCTTAGTCTACGGGTTGAGTGCAGCGCGTCCCTCATAGGGAAGGTCGGCGGCGAGCAAAGAGGGTTAGGGGGAGTGGGGATGGTTTCTTAGAAGCACCCATTCTTCCTAGAAGGCGCAGGCCTTGCTTACAGATGCAGACCCGGCGCCTTCTAAGAAGCAGCCTCCATCTAAGAACGTTTCCCCCCTCTCCCTACCCCCTCGTGCGCGCCGTTAACGTGTGCCCTCAGATCATTTTTTGTGCGCACAAGCGTCGAGTAGCGTCTGGTAATCGATGAGATACCGCCGATTTAGTATCGATTGGTGTCCACTGGCGTCGATTAGCTTTGGTTTAGCGCCGACGAACATCGATTCGCAAGAGCCAACAAGATGGTACGGCAGGCCCCCATGAGTTGCCGAAAAAAGTGTGTGCAGGTCGGGTTGGTGTGTTCAAGAACTCCCGCCACTGACACCCTCGAGTCATGAAGATGATCCTGGCGGAGGGCCCAACCATATCGAGCGCCGGCTACCGCGAGGCAAGTTATAAGAAGCAGGGGGGGAGTGAGGCGTGTGCCTACGTTGGGCGGGTGCGCCACGCGGACCCTGCCATCTAGGCCTTGGATGGAGCTCCCTACGGCGCCACGGCACGTGCGAGGGGTGACCCGAATCGGATGCGGGTGCACCATGTGGACCCTGCCGCTGGGACCTGCGGTGGATCCCTTGATGGGGCTCCACCGAAGCTCCTCATGGGGCCACGAAGCTCCCTATGGGGCCACGAAGCGTGCGAACGATGTGCTGAAGCGGGTGCGGGTGCGCCATGCGGACCCTGCCGCTGGGGCCTTCGGCAGAGTTCCCTCTTGGGCCAAGAAACGTGTGAGGGGTGTGCCACATCAGGTGCGGGTGCGCCATGCGGACCCTGCCGCTGGGGGCTGCGGTGGAGCTCCCTATGGTGCCAACAAACGTGTGACGTGTGTGCCACACCAATTGCTGCGGTTGAGTCATGCGGACCCTGCCGCTGGGCGGTGGAGCCCCTTATGGTCACTGAGCGTGCGATGTGTGTGCTGAAGCGGGAGTGGGCATGCGGACCTTGCCGCTGAGGCCTTCGGTGGACCTCCCTATAGGGCCACGGCACGTGCGAGGGGTGTGCTGATTCGGGCGCGGGTACGCCACGCGGACCCTGCCGCTGGCGCCTGCGGTGAAGCGGTGTGCCGAACTGGGTGCGGCTCCGCATGCGGACCTTGTCGTTGCGGCCCTCGGTGGGGCTCCCAATGGGGCCACGAGACGTGCGAGGGGTGGGCCAATTCGGGTGCGGGTGCACCATGCGGACCCCGCCGCTGGGGCCTGCGGTGGAGCTCCCTATGGTGCCAACAAACGTGTGACGTGTGTGCCGAAACGGGTGCTGCGGTTTTCAAGCGGGTGCCCGTACGCCATGCGGACCATGTTGTTGGAGCTTGCTGTGGAGCTCCCTACCTACGGGGCCACGAAGAGTGTGAGGTGTGTGCCGAATCGGTTGTAGGCACACATGATAGTGATGAGCTGAGTGCAAATGCAGGGCAGAGGCAGGGATGGGAGAAGGGAGGAGGTGGAGGAGGAGAAGAGGAGAAGGACGCGGGGCGCTGACTCTCCAAAACGAGGATCAGGACCCAACACCACTTCCGGCCTAGAATGGGGGCCTTACAGGGCCAACAACGACTCGGGATGACACATTGCTTCCATGGAGTAGGTCGAGCCCTCTGCGGACCGATGTTATAAAGTATCATGGCGTCAGAGGTATGGGTGCGCAGGCCCAGGACTCCACGACCAGTTGGGCCCCGCGCAGATGTGCAGCAGCAGGAAAGTGTGTGATGATCTTTCTCCTCGTCCGTGTTCCCTCGTCCTGCTTGTCCGACTCTCCTCCACTTCCCCCTCCTCCTTCTGCCCGTCTCCTCACCGTGGTGGTGGTGTGGCACCCCCCATGGTTCAGTAATGCTATTCGTGTCAGTACTCCTGCTGAGTCATCCGCCTCGCACTTCCCACTTGATCTTCCCTCTCCTGACTCTCATCGCCATTCCGATCACAACGTTTTCCTCCTCAGCCTGGACCTCTGTCTCCCCGTGCTCGTGCTGCTGGTCTTTCTCGCAGCATTGCTCCTGTTCATCCTCCTCCTCCTCCTCGCCTTCCTCTCCCGCGTAGGGCGGTCTGTGCCGCGCGCGCACCTGCGAGAAGAGAATCGTTCACTCGATAGGCTCAGAGCTAGACTGATGCATGCGCCTTTGATAGTATGCTGCGTGGTGTATGTGTTGCGCTGTCAGTTGACGAAATAGTGGGCTCGATTCATGTCTGTCTGTCCTCTCCCACTTGTTGCGGCGACCCCTTTATGAGGCCTTCAACGGCATGCACAGCGCCGCTGATGTGCCCGCCACGCTGGGAGCCTGGCAGGACTGGCCGAGCCTCTGTGCGCGCAGGTGCTCGCCGCCTCGATATCCTCGTTGTGTGTGTGTGTGTCTGTGTGTGTGTGTGTCTGTGTGTGTGTGTCTGCTTGCGTGCGTGCGTGCGTGCGTGCGTGCGTGCGTGTGCGTGTGTGTGCGTGTGTGTGCGTGTGTGTGCGTGTGTGTGCGTGTGTGTGCGTGTGTGCGTCTGTGCGTGTGTGTGTGTTTGTGTGTGTGTGGGTGTGTGTGTGGGGGGGGGGTCAAGGGGCAGCGAGACGTGGAGTTCGGGATAGGAGAAGGACAAGGGAGCCAGTCGTCTGGCGGGGCGTTGCGAGGTTATCGCAACGTACGAATTCTATCATGTGGGGTACGGCTGACGATTATATTTGCCATGGCAGCTGGGATTACGACGGCTGGCCGTCCTACTGTTGTTGCTGTTGCTGTGCGTCCACGACTGCTGCTACTGATACCCCGATCAATACAAGTGGTGGAACTGTCTCTCTAAACATACGACCACTACCAGTGCAGCTACGATTGCGAGTGTTAGCACCAATGGAAACTCTGCTACTGTTACCACGGCTCGTTTTAACTACTGCAAGGTCATGTAGCCCTACTACTGTAATTACGGCTGTTATCCACTGCGCCCCTTATATTGTTGCGCCTACGGTGGGTTCGCGTACCCGCCGCGACCCCGCTGCGGGCGTCCAACGGCGACCCCGCCGCGGGATTTCAACGATGAACGTTGCCAGCGGCCCAGAATCGGAAACGGCTGATCAGTCAAGGTTGAATGATCAATGCGGTGTCAGAAACCAGCGCCGAAGCCAGAACGATGCGAACTTGCTGGATTGACCCTGCTATTGCTAATGCTACTATGTTCTCATGTCCAGGTTTCTCGGAGATTCTTAAGGCTTCCTGGGGCCTCCGTGGCCTTCCAGGCGCATCCTTGGGCCTCTCGGAGCTTCCTGGGATTTCATCGGGCAATCTGTGGCCTTCTAGGGGCAGGAGAGGGAGGGAAGAGGATGATTAGGACGAGAAGTTCGACGCGTCTCCGTCGTGCGTACCAGAGTGGATTTTCTCCCTTCCAGGTCCCACTGGCTAATCTGGTCGAGAGCGTGCATTGGAACACCTCTACCCGACACCCGCTTGGGAGGCCCGAGCGCGATGCCTTCCTACATCGTAGTGGGCACGGGGCTCTGCGCAGAGGTACGCGTCGCCTCGAACAAATCGAGCGGCGTGCTTGAGAGGCCCCACCATGCCCGTCCACCACTCCCTGGTTGCTTCCTGTCAGGCGAGCCGAGCGCGATGTGTGCTACCTCGCGGCAACCATGGAGCTCTGGAAGTAAGCACGTCTCCCCCCAAACGAGCGTTTTATTTGCGAGGTCCTGCCGGTATTCGGGCGAACGAGCAATCAGACCACACCTGGTCGACACCCCAAAGGGAGGCCCGAGCACGACGATTGCCGCTCGGTGTATCGTGGTGCTCATGAGGCTCCCGAGAGAAGTACTGTACGCCTCCTGCCTGGCAGACTCGTTCCACCTGAGATGGTTCACCAATGTGGGCAGGAAAACGGGCCCGTGCGGCACCCCTGGACGAGCCTCCTTTTTGGGGCGGGGGAGGGCGTGCGATGCCTGCTGCATCGCTGTGTTCGTGGAGCTCTAAGAAAGGTGGGCTTGTTTTCCACCGCCGCCACCAAAGGTAGGAGGGTGAGGGGGACCTGCTCCTCCTCTTCGCCCTCTTCCTCATCCTCCACCTCCTCCTCCCCTCCAACTTATGGTGGTGGCGGAGGTGGAAAACAGGCCAATCAGAGAGAAAACCCAAAAAGCAAGTCGTCACCCCCCGAAAGGGCACTCTGCATCAAAGGTCCCGCCCCAACACGGCTCCGAGCGGGCTCTTGCAGCACTTGTGGTCGACACTCTCGGACGGCCCGAGCGCGATGCTTGCACCATCGCGGTGGCCATGCGACTGAGGAACAAGAGACCTCGCCCACCCCTGCGCCCCCCCCCCCCCCCAAAAAAAAAAAACAAAGGCTTCCCCCCTCCCAGAAAGAAAACCAAAACATTAAAAACACATATAAAAAACTGACGTGTTACATGAGATTTGCCACACACCTGGGCGGCGAGAAACGGCCCCGTGCAGCACCCTTCGTCTGCCCTATCTCTGGGAGACGGGAGGGGGGGACGGAGGGAAGGAGACTAGAGGAGGAGGAGGAGGAGGAGGAGGAGGAGGAGGAGGAGGAAGACGAGGAGGGGCGGAGAGAAGACGAAGGAAAGGGGGAGGAGGATAGGGGAGGAAGAGGAAGAGGAGGAGGAGGAGGAGGAAGAGAAGGAGGAGGAGGAGGAGGAGGAGGAGGAGGAGAGGAGGAGAGGAGGAGAGGAGACAGGAGGAAAGGGGGAAGAGGGTGAGGAGGAAAAGGAGGAGGAGGAGGACGATGATGCGGAAGAGGAGGAAGAAGACGGTAGAGGAGAGGGGATAGAGGAGGAATTTTATTATCCATACACCCCGCACTTGCGGATAAGAGTGAGGGGGCGCTCGCGCTGCACGCCGGGGCTTCCCGCCGAGGCAGAGTGAAAATTGGCAGACACGCAGCCAAAAGCACTCCAGCGCCCTCCACAGAAGAGGAATGAGCTGCCCACCTCCTCGGCCTCCTCCTCTTCCCCCTTGTGCGCCTCGTCGTCCTCGTCCTGCTCCTCCTCTTCCCTTCTCCTCCTCTTCCTCCTCCTCTTCTCCCTCCTCCTGACCCTCATTATCAGCAGCATCATCAGCAGCAGCTGCAGCATCATCATCAGCACCATCATCATCTTCATCATCATCATCAGCAGCATCATCATCACTAGCACCATCATAGGCATCATCATCAGCATCATCATAATCATCAGCATCATCATCAGTATCATCATCAGGATCATCATCATCAGCAGTATCAGCATCCTCCTCTTCTTCATCATCATCATCAGCAGCAGCAGCATCATCCTCATCATCGTCCTCATCATCAGCATCATCAGCATCATCATCATAATCGTCGTCATCGTCATCGTCATCGTCATCATCATCGTCGTCCTCCGCCCCTCCTCCTCCTCGTCCTCCTCTTCCCCCTCCTCCTCCTCCACGTTATCCCGCTGCTCCTCATCATCTACGTCCTCCTTGTCATACTCTCCCTCCTCATCGTTCTCATCCATCTCGTTTTTCTCCTACTCCTCCTCCTCCTCCTCCTCCTCCTCCTCCTTGTCCTCCTCATCCTCCTCCTTGTCCTCCTCCTCTTTTTCCTCCTCCTACTCCTCGTCCTACTTGCCCTCCTCTATGTACTACTTCTCTTTGTCCTCGTCCTCGTCCTCCTCCTCCGCCTCTCCCTTCTCCGCCTCATCCTCATCCGATCCCGCCGGTTCTCCTTCTCCAGTTCGTCCTCCTTGCCGCCCCCTTCTCCTCAACTGATGTTGCCCTCCCTGTGTATCCCTTCGTGTTTTTGTCCCAACCCTCCCTTGGTTGGGTTCTCGTTTTGAATAGAGCGATGCGGTTTCCACCCTCGTCCTTCCCCTCCTCCTGCTGCTCCTCCTGTTCCTTCTCTTCCTCCTCCCCCTCCTCCTCCTCGTCCGCCTCTTCCTCCTCCTCGTCTTCCTCCTCCATCTCCTCCTCCTCCTCCTCCTCCTCCTCCTCCTCCTCCTCCTCCTCCTCCTCCTCTCTCTTGCTTCCTGCTTGATTCCCATTTATTTTTGTGTTGGGTACTCGTCTCGACTAGAATACTGTGGTCTCCACCTCCCCTTCTCCTCCTCCTCCGCAGCAGCCATGTTGGCTCAAGATGCATGTTTCCCCCGTGAGCGAAGCGGATACCGCTAGTCCGCGGCAATCAAGACTTCTTGAAGTCTGGAGATCTTTCGTACCCGCTCTCCCTGCGCTCGGGACGGTGGGTAAACGGAGGCGTTTCCCGTTCCTGTCGGTCCGAACGCCCCAGACCATCCCGACATGGCGGCCTCCCCCGTGCACCAGCTCTCGTCGCAGGATGCCGCTGCCATCGATGTCTGCCCCACGTTCGCCTCGCAGGAGGTCACGCCCGCTCCCGTCGCGGGATCTGGCAATGGTGGCCGCACCTCTGCTCCCGCTGGCGGGTCTTCTCCAGGTGGCTTCGGCAAGTTCGTGTTTCGTAAGCGTGCAGCAGCTGCAGATGATGGGGAGCAGGAGACCGAAGATGCGCACATGTCGGGCGACTAGGTGCGTCAAGTATGTATGGACCTCTTCCCGACACTCCTGGAATGGGTTTAAGAAGAGCTGGCGAGCTCGTTCAAGGCCTGTGCCACGGACCACGCCGCCTCGGCCAATGGCAAGATGCTCGCTCTCGTCGACCAGCTTCGCAATGAGCTCGCTGGACAAACCGCTGCGCTCGACCAACAGATCCTCGGAGTGGTTCGCCGTAATGTTGATGACGCTTCTCGCCGTTTCCAGGAGCAGATTGATGCGTGCATTAGTAAGTTGCAAGACCATGGTGGACGTCTCTCGTCGATGGAGGGGGACTTGGGCGAGCTTAAGAAGCAGATGCGCGAGCTTCGCGACCAGCTCGCCCTTGCCGAGACGCGCCCCAGAGCACCGCTGGCGATTCCCCAAGGCTTCGAGCGGGATGCCGATGCCACGGTGGTCGTCATCATGTGCCAGGCCGCCACCACGAAGCAGCTTGTCGGCGTTGCCTTCTCGGAGTGGTTGGCTGAGCTCGGTTTCCCCCCGTGGGGCAAGCGCCTTGCAAGAAGTTCCTTCTCAAGTTCGGCGGCTTTGTCGCCGTGGCCTCGAGCAAAGTTCTTCGTGTTTTGTCTCGCCTTCGCGTGGGCGGTGCGTGGAAGGAGTTCCACGCGGATGTCCCAGCCGCCGCTCGGGCGCGCATGCACCTTGGCCCAGACAAGAACCCTCGCCAGATCAAGGCCGAGATGTTGCTCCGCCGATGTCGATGGGCCACTGCCGATGCCCATCCCGACTTCCGACTCTAGAGCGACGGCGACCGAGGCACGCTCTCGGTCGGATGGGACAGGACCCTTCGTGTCGAGGTGGCCGCGGGTGCTACGCCTGCGACTATCATGCGGGGCCCGACGGCGCAGCAGAAGTACAACTTTCGTAAGGGTGACCTTGCGCAGATCACGCGCCATCTCGTGGCGCCGCTGGTAGGTCGCGGAATAGGTGGCGAGTGATTCGCGGCATCGGTCGTTGGTTGGTCGCGGGCGGGTCGCGGGATGGGTCGCGGGATGAGTCGCGGGGGCGTCTCGGGATGGGTCGTGTGTTGGTCAGGGGTGGGTCGGGGGTGGGTCGTGGGTCGCGGGGTGGGTCGCGAGGTGGGTCGCGGGGTGGGTCGCGGGTGGGTCGCGGGGTGGGTCGCGGGTGGGTCGCGGGGTGGGCGCGGGTGGGTCGCGGGATGGGCCGCGGTGTGGGCCGCGGGTGGGCTGCAGGTGGGTCGCGGGGTGGGTCGCGGGGTCGGCGCCGTGGGTGGGACGTTGAAAACAACAACGACAACTCTGCCTAGCAGAATCCGCGCCGCGGAATCCCACTACAGCCTCGCACCGATGGACGGTGTACGACCGCCCGGCCCCTTCGTTCTGACGGTGGGGCAGAGGAGATGAGGAGGAGGAAGAGGAATGGGAAGAAAAGAGGGACGAGCAGGAATGGGAAGATGAGGAGGAGAGAAATCTGAGAATCAGCCCTCGCGCAGGTAACCCACACGCATCAAACCTGAACTCGCCAGGTAACAGGATGTCTAAGCCAGGACGTTGGGGCTAACGGACGGAGGGGCGGCTCTTCCCTCCATTCAGCCTTCTCCCTCTGCCCCTCATATCCCCTTCCCTATCTCCTCTCCCCTTCCCCCTCCGGCCGCAAGGACTCGGTGAAGCGCTGGTACCAGGAAGTATTCTCCGGGGGCAGCGTCCACGCGGAGCGGGATCAGATCAGGAGACCCGCGGCCCGAGTCTGGCATCAGTCGGGCGCACGGGGCTGGTGGAGAAGAGCATGTGGGTGAGAGGGGCACGAGGTAACGTGGCGAGGAGCCAGAGGAGGAGGAGTAGGAGGAGGAGGAGGAGGAGGCGAAGAGGAGTAGGGGAGTAGGAGGGGTTGATGATATATCTTGAGACGGGCAATTCGGAGGAGTAGGGGAAAGAGGAGGAGGAGGAGCTGCGGGAGGAAAGGAGAAATGGAGGGGGCGTTGGGAGGACGGATGCGGTGGTTGTGGAGGACGGCACAGGACGAGGAGAGCGAGAACGAGACGGTTCATGGAGGAAAACGAGGAAGGGGGGGCGATCGGGAGAAGGAAAAAGACGAGGAGTGGAAGGGCAGGCGGAAACGGAGGTTTGCAGGAATGACGAGGAGGAGCACGAACCATGAGGAGCAAGATGGCGACGAGGGCAGCGACGGCTGCGACGTGGACGAGGACCTGCATCAGCAGAATCTAGGCGCACGCCAGGCCTCGGCCACACAGACATGTACAAATACAGCGTTTGCATATTACGTCTGGATGGTAAGACAGGTAGGGCGATGGAGTTCCTGTCGCAGAGGCATTCAAGGAAGGGCTTCGCCTTCGTGGGTCGAAGGAGTCAAGATCTCATCCTCGGCCGAAGGCCGGCGGAAGGCGGCGGACGCAAAACGAGGCCGCCTCCGCCGGTGGAAGTTGGCGGAAGACGGCTCGGGGGCCTTGAGGCGGGGGTCAATGCAAAGGGGGGTCAGCCAGAGCGCCGGATGTCGCAGGATCCTGCAGGGCCAGGGTCGCACTGACCCGGGCTCGGGTGCAGGATCCTGCTGGATCCTGTTGGATCTTGCAGGATCCTGTAACGCCTAACTGACCCAGTTCTGGATTGCCCCGGGTCCGCAGATCCCCGAACGGATGAAGTTCGGCGGAAGGTGGCGGAGCTAGAAAGTGGCCGCCCAAGAGATGGCCAGTTTGTTAGGTCAGCGTTTCTTGAACCCGCCATATCTTCTCGTGCCGATGTCCAGCGGTTGCCGCGGATGGATCCGCTGTGCATTGTTCCAAATGGCGACACCACGGTGATACTGACTCTGCGACCGTGTTCCTTTTGAGAAGAGCAGCAGGAGGAGCAGAAGAAGGTGAGGCAGCGTGAGCAAGATGCGGGTCATCATGAGATGGCGGTAGAGTCAACCCGCATAGTATGGATGGGCAACCTTCCCAAGGGTACCCTTGCATCCTTGCCTCATTGGTCCATCCTTGGTCACTTTCGCTGGCCGCGCCCCGGTCGCAAAGTGTCGACATGGCTTCCCAAGGCTCTTGCATCCTTATCGTACGTCCTTATGATGCGGGTCGGCTGCAGAGGAGGCCCGGCGGGAGTTTCCCGGGGTTTTGCACAAGGCTTGCCACGGCAGCGACCGGTAGTCCGGGTTGCCGAGAAGGCGGGGCGACCCTGCGAGAGGCAGGTCCGGTTTGGGCTGAATTCGGGCATGTCTTTCTACAGGAGGAATATTCAAACATAGTAAAAAAATAGTGAGGGGACGTTTTAGTATGTCTGATTCTTTGTTGTTATTCGACTAAAATCCGCGTGTAGGGGGACATGCCCGACCTCAGGCTGGGCCCGCCCAGCGCGGTGCTGTGCAGGGGGCCGCCGGGAAAGAGCCAAAGCTCAGGGCAGCCCCCTTGGGGCCAGCGGGTCCGCCATGGCCGCGGCTGGCACTCGGCAGGTCGGGCATGTCCAACTACAGGGGGATTTTGAACGACAAATTACAAATACCAAAAAACATGTTCCGAAATGGCCAAACAAATACCACAAACATCGTCAATCGACTAGTTGTTCATTGTTTTTTTGAATATTCCTCCTGGAAAGGAACGTGCCCGACTGAAGACAAACCCCAGCTGAATCAATGATGCTGCAGCACACCCCTCCATCCCAAGGCTCGTCGTCATGAGCCCCATAGGCGCATGATGTTCCACAGCGCGAGCCACCCTCTTGAAAGGCGTGCGCCCCGTCGGCCCGCGATTCGGGCGGGAGCTCCACTTTGAAACATAAGCCTTGCGACAGACCCTACCATATGCAGTTGTGTGTACTGCCCTCATATGCGCAGCATGCGGTGGAGCTCCATTTGGGACCACGAAACGTGTGAAGGGTATGCCAACATGGGTGCGGCGGGCGCATGCGAGCGCTGGCATGTGGGCCTTCGGTGGACCTCCCTGTGGGGCCACGAAGCGTGTGAGGGGTGTGCCAACATGGGTGCAGTGGGCGCATGCGAGCGCTGGCATCTGGGCCTTCGGTGGAGCTCCCTATGGGGCCACGAAGCGTGTGAGGGGTGTGCCAAAATGGATACGGTGTGCGCTTGCGAGCGCTGGCATCTGGGCCTGTGGTGGAGTTCCCTATGGGGCCACACAACGTATGAGGGGTGTGTCAAAATGGACGTGGTGGGCGAATGCGAGTGCTGACATCTGGGCCTTCGGTGGAGCACCCTATGGGGCCCCACAACGTGTGAGGGATGTGCCAAAATGAGTGCGGTGGGCGCATGCGAGCGCTGGCATGTGGGCCTTCGGTGGAGCTCCCTATGGGACCACGAAGCGTGTGATGGGTGTGCCAAAGTGGGGGAGGATGGGAGGAGGGAGGGGGCAGCGGGAAGAAGGAGCGAGACGCGGGGCGCTGTCTCTTCAAAACGAGGACCCAACACCACAGTACGGTTGGCCAAAACAATATCCTCCCATATCCAGCTGCCTGCGGCAAGTCCCGCCACCGTGCCAGCCCAGCATTCTTGGTAGCGACTGTTCGAGGGTGCACTGGAGGCCGTCTCGTGTGACACCGCATATTTACAGGCTTGGGAGAGACATAGTGAGGATGATGAGGATTACGAGGATGGTGAGGGTGGTGATGATGGTGGTGGTGGTAGTAACTTTGATGATTATGATGATGATACTGATGATGATGGTGATGTCGTCAATGATGATATGATGATGATGAAGATGATGATGGTGATGATGAAATTGATGATGATGATGATGATGATGATGACGGTAATGCTGGTGTTGATGCTGTTGGTGATGTTGATGGTGTTGGTGATGTTGATGTTGTTGATGTTTGTGGTGATGATGATGTTGATGATAATGATTATGATGACGCCGGCGAAGATGACGGCAATGGCGTCGATATTCTTGATGGTAATTGTGGGAATGATGATATTGGTGATGGTGAGTGTGATGTTGATGATGTTGACGATGTTGGTAATGTCAGTCATGATCCAGATGATGATGTTGGTGCTGAGTCTGATGGTGATGATTGTGATGGTGGTGATGATGCGTATGATGCTGACGCTGATGCTGATGCTGATGCTCATGATGGGGTGGTGGTGGTGATGGCAATGATGACTATGAGGATGATGTCGGTGATGATGATGATGATGATGATGATGCTGATGATGATGATGATGATGAAACTGCTGAGGATGGTGATGATGAAGAATCTGATGATGAGGATGCTGATGAGGATGCTAATGAGGATGAGGATGCTGCTATTGAAAATGATGGTGATACTGATGACGATGACGATGATGTGGATGCTGATGATGATAATGATGACGGTTTTGCTGGTGATGACGATGCTGAAGATGGTGCTGGTGATGCTGAGGCTGAGGAATATGCTGAGGCGTCTGCTGAGGGAGATGATGAAGAAGGCGATGAGGATAGTCATGAAAGTGGTGATGATGGCGATGATATTGCTGATGACGAAGATGGTAATGATGGTGGTGGTGATTGTTCTTGTGATGGGGATGATATGAGTAATTACTGATGATACAGGTCGTGATGATGACGATGATGATGATGATGATGATGATGCTGATAATTGCGATGATTGTGATAATGTCGGTGTTGCCGGTGATCGTGATTATGAAGGGGGTGGTTTTGGTGATGGCAACAATGACGATGACTGTTGTGATGATGATGGTGATGCTGACCATCATGATGATGGTTATGATGATGTTGATTATGGTGATGGCGATGAGGTCGATAATGGTAATGCGGATGATCATGAGGATGATGATGGTGATGTCGATGAGGATGTTGATGATGTGATAAGGGTGATGATGATGAGGAGGAGGAGGATGCTTCTGCTGATGAGGACGATGATGAAGCGGTTGCTGATGGTGATGAGGCTGGGGAACGTGCTGAAAAACATTAAGGAAAATGATGTTGGGAGGTGATACAGATGATCATTGTGGTGGTGAGAGGTATGATGATGCTGATGATGACGATGATGTTGCTGATGCTGATGATGATGATGAGCTTGAGGATGAAGATTATGATGAGGATGAGGATAAGGATGAGGATGATGATGTTGATTATGATGATGATGCTGATGCTGATGATGCTGCTGATGATGATGCTGCTGATTATGATTGCGGTGGTGGTGATAATGATGATGCTGATGAGTGTGATGGTGACGATGATGCTGATGCTCATGATGATGATGATGATGATGATGATGATGATGATGGTGAGGCTGATGCTGATGCTGATGCTGATGCTGATGATGATGATGATGATGCCGAGGAAGAGGAGGAGGATGAGACTCGGTTGGGCCGTCTTGGTGCTGGCTTGGCCTCGTGTGGGGCAGTCCTGGGGGTCCCTTGGGGCCTTCTTGGGCTGTCTCACGGCCCTGTTTCGCCGGCCTGGGTCTGCAGTGGGCCGTCTTGGGACCATCTTGGCCGTATGGTAGGCGTCGGGGGGGCCCTCGTGGGGCCGTCTTGGCGCCGTCTTGACCCGTCGAAGGGCCTTCTAAGGCCGTCTTCGGTAGCACGGGAGGCCCTCTTGGGCAGTCTTAGGAGGCGTCTTGGATGCCTCTTGGGCCATCGTGGAGTCCTCTTGGGTGGGCCGCCTCGAGCTGACGGCAGCCCGGAAAGAGGAGAGTGCGAAAATTAGTCAAAAGGTTAAGCCTCTTGTTGCCATGTTGGGCCATCTTGGAGGAATGTTGGGCCGTCTCTAATTTCAATATTCGGCCACCTTGGGGCCATCTTGGGCCGTCTTCGAGGCATCCAAGAATCTTGGGCCATCTTGGTGTCCTTGGTTGCTGGTGTGGGCCGTCTCGGATGCTCGGGACGCATATCCATCGTTTTGAACAAGGGCTCGTGGCCTGGGAGGCCCTGGAGCGCTTGGGAGCAGCGCCTGGGAACGCGGGAAGTGCACGATCCTCGAGCGGGTTCGCGTGGGATGGGGGTCCAGGAGTTAGCAGCAATGTGGGAAGTTGACAATCCTCGAGCGATTGGGAGCGCATGGAATGAAGGTTCAGGCATCAGCTGCCATGCGGGAAGTGCACCATCCTCGAGCGGGCTCGCGTGGAAGGGGGGTTCAGGCATTAGCTGCCGTGCGGGACTTGCACCATCCTCGAGCGGGCACGCGCGGTGTGGGGGATTAGGCATTAGCTCCCGTGCTGGAAGTGCGCCATCCTCGAGCGGGCACGGGGGAAGTGGCCTCGGAAAGGAAGGGTGGTGCACGCAGGAGTCTGTTGGCAGAGGGAGGGTCGGTCCGTTGTTTCAGAAGAACCTCCAACAAAAACCTACCAGAGACCTCGGCATTCTTCCACGCCTCAACGTACCAGGGGGCACGGTGGCGGACCTCGAGCCGCGACGAGCGTGACAAGGTGGAGGTTTAGAATACAAGGAGGTGCCCAGCGACGGCCCTGGACTGAACAGGAACTGCACCCGTGCAGTTGTCGTACATCTTCAAACTTCTCGTCATGAGGACGGGCGAAGTCTCATGCGAGAGCCCCAACTTGGGAAACAATCCATCCACCCGCGTAGTGGTTGCACGTGTTACACGTGGGGTCATTTGTCTTGAGAGAGCGTCAGGCGGCAACCCCATTCTGGAAACTGGCCGGCATCCATCCGAGAAAGTGTTGGAATATCCCAAAAAGAATGTGCGCGGCACCGAGGCGAGACCCACATTTTCGAAACAACCAGTCCTCTGTCCATGAAAGTTCTGGAACCTTGTATGACGAAGGTGCTCGGCGCAAAGGCGAGAGCCACATGTTTGAGACCACGGCCCATCCACCTGCGTAATTGTTAGGCTGGAGGAACGTTCGGGATCGATAGTTGTGATTTGTGGTGAACTCTCAACCGAACATCCCGCCCGAGCCTACGGACACATTCGAGGGTGCAGCAGAAAGGGTTTCCCATACCTGGAAGAGAGATGGACGTGGATCCCCTGAGGCCTGGACCACTTCCCCGGGGACATCGTCGTCGTCGTCGCCGCCGTCGTCGTTGTCGTCGTCGTGTTAGTCGCCCCCCGCGCCACGGTGTGCGATTCCCCCCCCCGCGCGACCGCGAAGGCCCGCCGCCCGCCGCCCGAACACCTCGGACATGGTTTCCATGCCCGCGAGCCCCCAGGCCAGCGGGGGGGGGTGGAGCTTTCGATGAGAAGGGGGGCGAACTTCAGCGGATGAAAACATTCGAAGAAACATCGCCATAAACATAAACGTTTGGCGTTCCGCGCGCATTTTTTCGATCTGCGCTGAACCCCCAGCGGCGCCTTCGGCGCCGCCACTGGCGCGCTCCGCGCACCAGGGACGGTGTCCAGCGCAAATCCAAGAAATCCGTTCGGGGCGCCACAAGTTTGTGTTCATGGCGCTTTCTGTTTGTCTCTTCGGCGGATGAAGACATCCCCCGCGCGCCCTGCTGCGAGCGCGCCGCGTGAGTACGCCTTCCCCCTCCTCCTCCTCCTCCTCCTCCTCCTCCTCCTCCTCCTCCTCCTCCTCCTTTTCCTCTGTCTCCCCTCCGCGGCCAGCCCTCTTCTTCTCCACGCCTCTTGCACGTGGGACAGTTCGCAAGGCCGCTGCGCGGGTTGCCTGGACGCGCGTGTGGCCTGCCTCTGCCGCGCTGCGACGAGGAAGCGTCTGTCCTGGAGCCCTCATCGCCACGGCTGGACTCGCCTCGGAAAGCCGCGTTACATCGCAATCCCAGGAGAGGTCGAGAATCGGCTTATATTAAATGGGGAGGAGGAGGAGGAGGAGGAGGAGGAGGAGGAGGAGGAGGAGGAGCGGGAGGGGAACCGCCGGGGGGGAAGGGGGGGAAATAGTGGACGAGGAGGATAAGGGGGGAAGAGAGGGACTGGGGAGGAGAGCTGGGGCTGAAGGCCGAAGGCATGACAGCCAGGTCAGATGCGAGGCTGCGCCGCGGCACGGGGCGGGCCTCCCCTCCGCTGGCCCACTCCTGCGTACTCGCGCCCTGCTTTCTGCCCGTGTTGCGCACCTCCTTCTGCTGATGTATATAAAGTGTTGTCTATATGCACATACATAAATACATAACACATACATGCATGCATACATACATACATCCGTGCATACGTACGTACGCACGTACCTAATCACATACCTACATACATTCAGACAGACAGACAGAGACAGACAGACAGACATGCATGCATGCATGCATCCATACAGACAGACCGACAGACAGACAGACAGACGGACAGACGGACAGACAGGCAGAGACAGACAGACAGACAGACAGACATGCATGCATGCATGCATCCATACAGACAGACAGACAGACAGGCAGACAGACAGACGGACAGACGGACAGAGACAGACAGACATGCATGCATGCATGCATGCATGCATCCATACAGACAGACAGACAGACAGACAGACGGACAGACGGACAGACGGACAGACGGACAGACAGACCGACAGACAGACAGACAGACATGCATGCATGCATGCATGCATCCATACAGACAGACAGACAGGCAGACGGACAGACAGACAGACATGCAGGCATGCATGCTTGCATGCATACAGACATACATACAGATGTAGCTATATATATATATATATATATATATATGTACTTCATCTTCTCGCCCCTGCCTGCTCCGCAGCCCGCCTCGCACTTCAGGCGGTCCCATTTGGGATTTTCTGGGCCCCGACCGCCCACCCCCGTCGGTTCTCCCTGCTCCACTTTGTTGGTGGCCTCCTGTGTCGACGCCGCCGTCGAGGATCTTGAGGCGCCCTGTCATACGCCAGACGCTGTGGGTAGGCCTCTCCATCGCTTCGCCACTGCCATTGAGCGAACTGCACTGTCCTCAATCTCGAGGAGTGTTACGGGGCACCTGGCCTCTTCCCTCAGCCTCCGACGCGAGGTCCACGGGGGAGTCACTGGCGCCCGGGGCTGCTCCAGTTCCACGCCGCTGGCCTCCTGTGGCGGGGTCGGCAGCTGCTCGAGGGGCCTCCCGCACGGCCCCCCCCTCTTGCCGCTGCCGCACCTGCTCCGCCAGCGCCCTGCGTGCCCCCTCCAGCATGGCGGCCGGCAGCCGGTGGAGTCCCGCCGCTGTGCTCTGCAGCCAACCCGCATAGCAAGGACGGGCAACCTTCCCCAGGGTACCCTTGCAGCCTTCCCCTTCGGCCCATCCTTGGCCGCTTCCGCTGGCCGCGCCCCGCTCGCAGAGTGTCGACGGGGCCTTCCAAGGCCCTGGCATCCTTGCCGCGCATCCTCATGCAGTGTGGCTTTTGTGATGGCTCCTGAGAGGGTCCGGTGCTGCAGGTGGGGCTCCGCGCTCCTCCGCCGTCGCATCGCCATGCTGAGTTTCGCCCGCCTACTCAGCGGGCTGCCGTGTGTCTGGGCCGCTTCGACGTACGCGCCCACGCGCTGGGGGCTGCCCTCGCGCGCTCGGGCTCGCACCCCCGCCGAAACGGAGGAGGAGGAGGCGGAGGAGGAGGCGGAGGAGGAGGAGGAGGAGGAGGAGGAGAGAAGCGGACTGGGGGGAGGAGGGGGGGGGAGGAGAAGGATGAGGAGGGGAAAGACAGGATGAGGAGG